TGTTCCCAAAGCACAAGGACTCACATCTGTGGACTGGTCCCCAGCATAGTGCCAGATGTCATCAATCATGCTGGTGAGGAGGTTGAGGCTGGAGGGGATGTTACGTGGCAGCAACAGGACACTCAGGGCCTGCAAAGGAAACACACACAGAAATGGGAGCCAACGAGAGAAGGATGTTACACCAAAGGAGACCAACACTGCTCTGCCCTGTTTTCCTTTCCCTGCTGCTGCTGACTTGCCTCCAGCTCCCAGTGACAAGTGCTCCCAGCTCTCTGCAGTCCTTCCAAGCAGCAGGATGTGCAGGGAGCACACAGTGGGGCTCAGTAAGTGGCACAGTAAGTTCAGACCTCAGCCTGTACTGGCCCCAAAGATCCCTGCTCAGTTCAAACATCCCTGTGCTGTCTCTCCTGAGCTGCCTCTCTGGCATGGAAACATCAGAGCCTGAGCTGACTCACACTGTGCTGTGCCCCTGTGGGCAGGGAGTCACATCTCTCATTTCTCTGAATTTGACTTTGAACTCAGAGCTGCAACCACGGGCAGAACAGTGCCAGCCATAATGGCCCTGCTGGGATCCTGCAGCCTTTGAACATAATCACACAGTGCCAGGAGAGACACAAACCACCCACATCCTTCACAAGGCAAATTATGCTAATCTGAAAGAAGAACATGAAGCCTGTGCTCTCTCTCTGTGCATGGGGTGCAGGATTCAGCTGCCCAGAGGCCAGCAGTGGCTCTGGACAGAGGCTGACATGGCAGCAATCTTTGCAGCCTGAGATCAGGAACTCTTTGCTTGTCACTGTAGCCACAATTCAATTCCTTTCCCACTGTGGGAAGAATGGCTTGAGAGTTAAATGTGAATCTAGAAGCATGGAGCCCTCTCAGTTGAGCTCTACCCTCAGGCTGCCAGGGGTTTGTCAGTCACACACTCGAAGGACAGTTCCCTGCAGCAAAGCAGTTCTGCATTTCCAGGTGTGAGGTGATCCCAGTGCAGCCACAACACTGCACAGAGCCTGACTCTGCACACAGGACTGAGCAGAGACACAGGGAATCCCCTGGGGATGCCAGATGGGTGGAGAGAACAGAGAGCTTTGCCTTTCCAGAACTGCGAGATACAGTTGCTCTAAGGTCACCTTTAACTGCCTCCTTCCAAGGCTGCTCTCCTCTTGAAGGCTACTAATCATGTGAAAGCAGCCAGGGCTTCATTTACTACCTTCAACTAATCTGGTGGAGAGACTATGTTGAAAGTTACAGGGTGTTTAAAGTACACAAGCAAGAGACAATGTTGATATTACTTTTATACCTGGGGCCATTTCTCAATATATGGAATCAGCATCCTCAGTCTGGCTTCCACAGCATCTTTCAGGAATTCATCTATAGGCTTCTTCCTGAGTAAGGAAAAAAAAAATAGGAAGGATATCCAAGTTAAACTCAATTCTGATCTTGAAAGATCAATCTCCACCTGGTTGAGCAATAGATAAGCAAAGCATTATATATCCTTCATGCCTTTGGTCCTAGTCTGTATCTGGGAAGATGGTTTCATTTGGGTAAATCATACTTTTAACTTAAAGTATCTGTGTTCAAGGTGGCCTCTCTGTCTACCCAGCTCCCAAAATCTGCAAATGAAGTCATTTGTTCACACCCAGTACTCACTCTGCTTCTCCCAGCTGCACCAGTTTCTGCTCCTTCTTCAGCAGCTCAGACAATTTGGTGTTGCACTCAGACACAAAGTGCAGGATCAGTTCACTGCCATCACTGTGAAACAGCCCTGCTGCAGCCACAGAGAGGCCCAGGGTCTGTAGGGAAGAAGAAAGAAGCACAGCCCAGGTCAGACACTGCTAAGCAGGATCCAGCTACAAAAAGCTGTATTTATTTTGTGAAAGACATTATGTGAATTTAAACAAAGCAACACTGCATTAAAAAGTGCTTGCTGGACACGTTCTCTCTTTAGGATTCACTACTCTGTGTTGTGCCTTAGTCTGACTCTGAAGGGTTATCCTGTAGCAGCTGGGTTTCCTTCCTGCCCAGCAGCATTTGCTGACTAGGGTGCATCGCCCAAGAGTATGTGGGGGAAGCATGCAGGCCTGGCTGTCCCTGCACTTCAGCTCCATCCAGTTTTCAACTGGTTTGTTGCTTCTCTCCCCACATACCTTGGCTCCCTCTGCAATGGCCTCTGCAGTCCAGCCATGCTCAGGCACAAACTCCAGCGCCGCTGTGAGGATTCGATGCTGCAGCTGCTCCTCGCTCTCATAGTCCTCAGACTCCTGGCCGCCCTGGCCAGTGTAACTATGAGAAGGCATTGTTACAGTGAGGGGAGTGTCACCACAGACAGCAGAGCCCTGGCTCTGCCGCTCGCTGACACCAGGCACTTCTTGAGACTGCTTAGTACAAATCTGGCCTCCTGCAGTAAAATCCTTCCCTGGCCAGAAAAATGATTCTTAACGAACCTTTGCTGAGAGAGAAGAGAAAAATAAGGGAAGGAGGCCTCAGTGGAGATGCCTGCATGGAGACCAATCAGCCCCACATTCCTCTCCTTTACAGGAAACTAAACTATAGCCTTTTCCAACGTGGGCTTTATACTGTGGGCATATGGACAACACATGGTCCCTGGTTTTTTGGATTCACACAAAAATCCAAAAGCAAAGACTTGCACTTTGCAGACAAGGGTGTTTCCCTCTTGAAAGCAAGCTCCATGCTGTTTCCATGGTGGAATTTGCACGGTCACAGCAAACCAGCTCTCCAGCTGCTGCAGTCTGGGGCTCCTTAACTCTGGGTCTGTTGTCTTCCAGTTTCAGATGTGAGGTTCAGGAAAGCAAAAGCCCTCCGCTGCTCTGTCAGTGGGACAGTGCTAGAAGGAGCTGTGAGTTACCTGGGGTGCGGGCCCTGAGGTTTTTCTTCAGGCTGGTGGCCAGCTGGAGGTGAATCAAAGTGCTGCTGAGAGGAGGATGCCCATGGCTCCTTCTTGTGCTCATCAGAGGTTCCCCTCAGCGCGGCCGAGGCCTGCAGGGCACGGAGTGGAGGGTATTGCTGGCACCTGACCACTGCAAGGCAAACCAACAGTCAGCATCCCCTTCCCACACCACGAGGCACGGAAAATTAAGGTGGAGAGGGTTGTGGTGAACGCAGCTGAAAAGAACACAAATTCATAGTGGCTTTTTTTTATGCTTCTGTTAAGTGCCGCTCTCAGCTGAGCTAATGTCTACGTGAACACAGCAAAAATGTTTTGTGAGGGAAAGAGCAGTGCAGAAATAGCATGTACTGCAAATTGTTCCCCAATCTCAGACTGAGGACCAGGCACCCAAACATGCCCTCTCCCCATTTTGGTCCCCGATTAAGGAGTTGGGAAGAAGGTGCTGCCCTGTGAGCAGATCCGACTGCTGAGCTGAGGAGCCCTGACAGACACCAACGCTAATCACTGAGTGATCACTCAACGGCACTCCGCGGGAACTTTTAATTCAGCTGTGGTTTTTTGGATTAGGCTTTTTTTTTTTTTTTTTTTTAATAAACTGGGTTTCACGGCCCACGCTTCTAACGACAAGCACCACGGAGCAGCCCCGCGTCCAAACCCACCGGCTCGGCGGCGGCCCCGCTCCCCTCACAGCCCCGGTGCCCCTCACCCGCGCGGCCCCGCCACAGCCGCCAGCCCGCGCGCCGCAGCCCGCCCGCCGCCGCCATCTTGGAAGCGGGCAGAGCGCGATGACGTCACGGTGACGGCGTCAGGCCGGGACGAGCGAGCGGAGCCGAGCGGGCCGGGCCGCGGGAGGTGAGCGGCGCTGCCCCTTTTCCCCTTAAAAATCCCTCGTGAGCGCCGGGGGTGGGTGTGCCATGTGTAAGTAATTCCTTCACGGACTTTCCTCACGCCTCCTGTCCCTGCTGCCGCTGAACCGTCCGTGCTCGGTGACCGAGAGGTTCATTGCACCGGCCGTAGGGCCCGCAGCCTTGGGGAGCCGGAGCGTTCCGGGGGGAGCCGGAGCGTTCCCCGGGGAGCCGGAGCGTTCCCGGGGAGCCGGAGCGTTCCCCGGGGAGCCGGAGCGTTCCCGGCCGCTGGAAGCCGGCTGTGCTGCGTCAGGAGGCTGCAGTTTACAGCCCTGGAACGGTTGGGGTTGGAAAGAACTGTCGGGATTATCCCATTCCACCACAGCAGCTTTCTGATCTCCCTGCGCTGTTGTTTAACCCCTTCCTTGCCCCGTTCCTCGGGGACTGTTGGTGTGTGTGACACGAGATAAGGGCCCCTCCGTGCCACCCGCACGGGATCTGCGGCCTCATCTCAGGGAGGTGGCGTTGCTGTTGATGCAGTTTGGGCTCTGACTGATCCTGCAGGGTCACAGCCTGCTGTTCAGAGAGGAAGCTGTGACTTAGGGTTTATCTTTCCCACCTTGGCCTAGCAGCTTAGGTGTCTTTTGAGATTTTCAGCCTTCTTCTTGGGAAAGGTGACTTTTTAATGGGATTGATATATGTGATTACAAATGCTGTTGTCTGCTGTAGCTGCTTAGCTTGTGTCACACCTGCAAAACCAGCATTGAGATGTTACAACCTGCAGTGTACATCCAAGGTGTATATTCCCTACTGGGTTGGCATTGTGGCTGTTTTAGTGTGAATTCCTACCACAGTAGCACAGAAAAGGCACAGGTTGTCCCCTTCTGAGCTTGTTGGCAGTTTCCAGGAGGGAGGGGGGAGTCCACAACACACAGAGCCAGAGGAACTGTGGGTCAGAATCCACTCCCCACCTCACTGCAGTTAAATTTGTTACATATTATCCATGAGCTGTGCTCTAGTGACAGCGTGGTGGCAGTAAGGCATTGCCCAGGATGTGTGATGTAGCAATTCCTGGTACAGACCTTGCCTACAACTGTCTCTCCAGAAATAGGTGTGTCGTTTCCAGCTAATTGAAGGTACACTGGGCAACTGTTCTGGTCAGCAGTGCTCTCTGTTCTCTGTGGTTGTGTTAAATTAGGAAGAAAATAGGTTTGTGTTGGATAGAGGAGAGAGGGGAGGTCATTGGGTTCAGTGCTGGTGCTCCTCTGAGATCAGGTGATGGTGGGATACTATTGCCATGCAAGGAATACAATCTCATATAAAATATCAGTGGAGACAGCTTTCTCAAAACTGGCACTGCACATTCTGTTCTGCTCCTCCCTCCCTGTAATTTGCTCACCCAGTGCCACCAATCATAACGGTGGGAAGAGCCTCAATCTGGAATGCTGGGAATGCTGAAAGTTACTTTTTTTCTTCATGTACTGCATAAGTAAACTCTGCTAGGTCCTGTTTGGAGTAGGAGACACAAGGCAGTGTTTAATGTCAAATAGCTGTCACTGCTCAGGAAATCCAGAAATCCTGTGTTTGTCTTATTCAGATTTTTAAGAAAAGCAGGTAAGTATTTTTGTTACTTTGTTGGTTTCTTTAAAGCATGGCTCACAGTCTCCCAGCAGTGAACTGGAGAGAAGCTGAGTTATGCCCTGAAGTGTAGCTCTTTCTTCATGTCCTGCTAACGCTCAGTTTGTGGGAACTTTGTGTTGCCCATTTCCAGAAAATTATCCCCATTTATTAAAACAACTCCCCAGCTGATTCAGTCACAGTCCACAGAGGCACTTACCCTTCGTCTCTCTTCCCCCCGTTCCTCCCCCTGCCCCTGGGGGTTTCAGGTTTGCTGCAGCTGGCATGGGGGAGTACGGAGTGGCTCCGGGCCAGCGCGTGGCCATCATCTGGGACAGCTCCTCGCCCGTCGAAGCCCTGAAGAATTTGGTGGATAAAATCCAGTCACTGGTGGGAGCTGATAATCATATCTCTGTGGAAAATGTTAACCAGCTGTCTCACTGTAAGAATGAGCTTAAATTTTCATGTTTCCTTAAAAGGGAGGGGGTTCTGCTGCTGTGTGATCCAACAGCTTCCCACTTTGGGAGTCAGCGCTCAGAACACTGACAGCACCTGCCTCTTATCTGGGCAGTATCCCCCCGTTCCTCCCCCTGCCCCTGGGGGTTTCAGGTTTGCTGCAGCTGGCATGGGGGAGTACGGAGTGGCTCCGGGCCAGCGCGTGGCCATCATCTGGGACAGCTCCTCGCCCGTCGAAGCCCTGAAGAATTTGGTGGATAAAATCCAGTCACTGGTGGGAGCTGATAATCATATCTCTGTGGAAAATGTTAACCAGCTGTCTCACTGTAAGAATGAGCTTAAATTTTCACTGTTTCCTTAAAAGGGAGGGGGTTCTGCTGCTGTGTGATCCAACAGCTTCCCACTTTGGGAGTCAGCACTCAGAACACTGGCAGCACCTGCCTCTTATCTGGGCATGCAGCAGGGGAAGTGATGCACCGTGGCTGTGCTTCTAAGATTGGTGTCTTTAATCAGTTCCTGCTGTTGTACTCAAGCATGAGGGGTGAGGGAGGTGGCGCTGGTGTTTTAAGCTCTGTGTGTACATGTTCAGTTGTACCATCTTGCTCTTTTTCAGCGGCTCACAGGGAGTCCAGTTTCGATGTCATCCTCTCTGGCATGGTTCCAGGCAGCACAGCCCAGCACAGTGTGGAGCTCCTGGCAGAAGTAGCTCGGATACTTAAGCCAGGGGGCCGTGTCCTCCTGAAAGAACCCGTGGTTACAGAATCAGGTGAGAGAATCTTGCTTCCATGGCAACAGAGCATTTCTCATGAGGATTAGGCTGAAATAGAAAGGACAGGAACCCTGATCAACATTGAGAGATTTTCATTCTCCTGACACACTAACTCAAATCACAAGGTTTATATCCTGTGCTTATCCTGGTAACATCAGAGATGTTTGCAGTCACTCTCCTATCAAAGATGCTGGATAGGTTTGTTCCTAAACTGCAGTGAAAAGCTTCAGTGATCACTGCTTTCTCCCCAGAGTGCAGTGTTAAGTAGTTGCAGATGTTGTGTTTCTGAGGAGCTTCTGAAGTGGTTTTAAAAACAGGTGACAGATGCTGAAGAGATTGTCCCAGAAGTGCATTGAGAAATAGTTGTCCAGAAAAGGTTAAAAGTCTTTGGACTGAGTTTTAGGAGAAAAGCCAGAGCACCTGCCATGGGACAGCTGGAGAAGCCATGAGAAGGCAAACACAAGATGATTTCTTAATGTAGTGTGTTCATTTAGGAGCCCATGCTGTGAAAACTTCACGAGTAGTTTAATAGGTAAAAATGTTGGGGAGGGCGTTTGTTTGGGGATTTGTTAAAATCTTTTTTTTTGATGGGTATTGATTGGATTGAGAAATGTTTTGGCATATATAGAACATATTTGGAGCCAGAATGGCTTTGTGACCCCACACTGTTATTCTAATGAACAAGCTACTGCTGCTTTTTCTGGTTTGTTCTGTCAACTGGAAAGGGCCCAATTTTGGTGCAGAAGTTTGGCTCAAGTACTTCCCTCTAAAGTTCTTGCTCTTTCAGGTTTCTCAGTGGGCTGTATTCTTGTTCTTGCCTTCTCCTACTCTCTCCTTTTGTGTCTTGCAGGAGACAATGGCAAAATCAAGACAGCAGCCAAGCTCCTCACAACTCTGACTCTCTCTGGATTGGTGGAAGTGAAGGAGGTAGGGATATGTTTACCATTTCCAGAAATGCCCTTGGGCAGTTACCTGGGGATTTGTTGGGTGATGAGGTTTTTAGCTATCCTGGTTTGCCATAAATGTGATGGCCACTGCCTGGCACAAACTTTAGTTACTGTCAGCATAGTTGTTTTCTTTAGGATTGAAAATCTGTTCACTGGAATGCTGGGCTTGGTGTTAAAAGAAGGGGTTCTGCATATGGTTAACCTGAAATCTTTCTTGGCAGCTGCAAAAGGAAGCACTGACCCCAGAGGAGGCCCAGTCTGTTGGAGAACATCTGGGTTACCAAGGCAGTGACCTTGTCATTATTCAGATAGAAGGCAGGAAGCCCAATTTCGAAGTGGGATCCTCAAGACAGCTCAAACTTTCCTTTGCCAAGACACCTGCTCCTTCAGGTAAGGAGTGGTGCATGCTGCATATCTGATTTTGTGGCTCTCAGTGACAAGCACCACTTGCAACAGGGAGACAGTTCCCAAGCAGGGAGTGCTACAGCAAAAAGCTATGAAATGGGGCTTTCCAAAGTTGCTTGAACTCTTATTTTTTGGAGTAGATGGGGCAAAGGCTGGAATAACTACTATTTCTTCCTTTGTTTTGGCTCCAGCAAAATCCCCTGTGGACCCAACTGCTGCCAAGCTGTGGACACTGTCTGCCAATGATATGAATGATGAAGAGATGGTAAGTGGTTTTCTTTGTGAGGCTTTGCTGTTCCTTCTCTCTCCCCATTCCTTCCTATTCTAAATACTTTCAGTCGTGCCTCTTAGGAAGCTGTACAACTTCAGAGGTAGAAAAACCTCCCTAGGGCAAAATAGTTCATCTCCTTCATGGGGTCTGGAGAGCTCAGTGATGTGGTGAGGGCAGAGAGGAGACAGGGATAAGAGGGCAGAACTGCAGCTCTTTAATGCCAGTGTACAGAGAGCACCATTTCTTTGAATGTAACTCAGCAGTGTCATTCCCTACTGAAAAGTCCATTTCCTAAATTTTGTCTCCCATGATGTGTTTTCAGGATCTTTTGGACTCTGATGAGCTGTTGGATTCAGAGGATTTGAAAAAGCCAGATCCATTGTCCCTCAGAGCTCCAACCTGCAAAGAAAAGGGCAAAAAGAAAGCCTGCAAGAACTGGTCAGTGCTGGAATTCATGTATCAGTGAACCTTTCAACTGCTGTATTAAGAGTTGGAGGGATTTAAAAAAAATATTGTAGGAAATTTGCTGTTCCTCAGAGCCCAACTCTCTTAGTTCATGTCCTTTCTTATCTTAATTATTGGAATGTAAATCCAAATACAGTGAAAATTGGCCTGTGACTGCTACAAATTATCACGATGGTGTATATTATCAACAGCCATCTTGGAGGTGACTGATAGCTTGTGCAGCTTGCCTAAAACCCTAGTTTCTCACATTCCAAGGAGAAACAGCACATATAGCAAGTGCTGTAGTGTCATTTCCCACTCAGTTTAAACTTGAGTGTTTCAACACTTGTTATACAAACCGTGGTGTTGAAGAGCAAAGTGAGGAGCGCGAGTGCCAGAGTCAGCTGTGTCGTGTGACAGAGTGAGGGCTGTTGCATGTGAGTTGGGCTGGCACAAGTGTTGATGACTCATGACCTTTAAGCAGAAACATGCAGGTGACTTCTTTGTTTTTCTACAGCACATGTGGCCTGGCTGAAGAACTGGAACAGGAGAAGAAGGGCTCACAGCCCAAATCTGCTTGTGGAAATGTAATTAGTATTTTTTTTCTTTATACTATGGTTTGCAGTATATGATCTCTATGTAGGAATTGTGTTCCCTAGTCACTGCAGCCTGAGCTGGATCACTGCTTCCACACACTGCCTGTGCAGCTTCTGCAGAGCTTCAGCCTTTGCCCTGGGCCCATGTGCTCTGTACCAGCACATGCAGTCTGTTCTGACTCCCTGGGGCAATCAGAGCGAGCAGTGACCCTTTCCCTCTCTGCTCATGGCCTAACCAGGGACCTGCCCAGGGAGGATTGCCTTGTGGGAGCTCAGGGGGCTGCCCCAGCCTGGCCCCCCCAGTGGGGTGGAGACTCATTTCTGTGTGAGCCTGCACAGCTCTGCCATCCACACTAACCAGATGTGTTGAGAAGGGGGTAGAAGGGAAGCAGTTTCTGTGCTCATAGATGAGAAGCATGACATCTCTTGACCTGGAGAAACCTGTGCAGCTTGTGCAGAGCTTCAGCCTTTGCCCTGTGCCCATGTGCTCTGTACCAGCACATGCAGTCTGTTCTGACTCCCTGGGGCAATCAGAGCGAGCAGTGACCCTTTCCCTCTCTGCTCATGGCCTAACCAGGGACCTGCCCAGGGAGGATTGCCTTGTGGGAGCTCAGGGGGCTGCCCCAGCCTGGCCCCCCCAGTGGGGTGGAGACTCATTTCTGTGTGAGCCTGCACAGCTCTGCCATCCACACTAACCAGATGTGTTGAGAAGGGGGTAGAAGGGAAGCAGTTTCTGTGCTCATAGATGCTGAGGAGCATGACATCTCTTGACCTGGATATCACAGGGGAAGAGACCTGAAAGTGGCACCTGATTACAGACAGTGCTTTTCTTTCCCTTGCCAGTGCTACCTGGGAGATGCATTCCGCTGTGCCAGCTGCCCTTACCTGGGGATGCCTGCCTTCAAGCCTGGGGAGAAGATTCTCCTGCCAGAAAACCAGCTGCACGATGCCTAACAAAGACATGTCCTGCCAAGGACTCTGCTGCTTTTCCATCACTCTGAGGTTCTTCCTGCAGTCCTCATCCTCTCAAACTCATGCTCTCCAGCCAGTGCTCCATATGGGGAGGGACACTGCTGTGAGCTCACCACTTGTCATCAGCCTGGGGCTACCCGATCCTCTGGTGACAAGTCACGTCTTAGACTTCATGTTACACCTTGTTTTGGCTGGCCTGCCTTGATCCTGGGCGCTGGTCACAGCGTGTCCCACCAGCAGAGGGAAGTACAGTCACGTGTCAGGTTGTCCTTGTGTGCCTGTGGCATTTCCCATGCCTGTGTCCTACAGCTCTAATTAGTCCTGATTTTCCCTGGTGAATCAGCAGCTCTGGCTCAGTCCCCGGGGTGATGGGCTCCTGCTCTCTTTGAAATTTTAACCTGCAGCCCCTCATGTGGAGATGGTTCAGCAGCTCCTGTGGCAAGTCAGGAGCAGGGAGTACACTTAGCAGTGTGTACTCTTAGCAGTGTGCATGGGAAAGGCTGGCAGGCATAATGAATTTCCAAGTGTATAGGGAGCCCCTTCCCCCAGCTGTTTTTAGCAAAATGACAAAGATTCAGTCCCGCCAAGAACTCCTGCCTTTAAGGCAGGGAGCTGATGAAACAAGATCTGTCTTGTCTCCCCACAGCTTTAGTCCAACACGAGCTGATAACACAAGGGCAATCTGAGACTATCACCTCTCTTGGTGGTTACCCAAGTGAGTTACCTGCAGTGTCAAATACATAAGAACATAGCAATAACTTAATTTCTAGGTGATCTGTGGTGGCCCTCTGCTCCCTCTCCATGAGATACTATTTATTTGTGTAGCTCCTACCCTGAAGCATCCTGCAGGTGTGGGATCAGGGTGCTGTTCACATTTTGTGCTGGGCTTGCTTCTCACCCAGGGAGGGGGAGGAGGAAAGCCCAAATTCAGTGTCTCAGTGGGGACTGCTTTGTTTGGAGCTCTTGCTCTGCAGGATGTGACTTCTTCTCGTGTGCTGAGTTACTAAACTCATGGAGAGGGCTGGGATGAAAGGCTGTTCTGTTCTTGAAATAAAAGTGACCAATAGTAAAGCCTTTGTTTTAAGGCTGGTATTAGTGATATTCTTTTACTCAGCCTCTCAGTGATTTCTTAAACTGTTCAAATGTTAGACTGCATTTTGGAGTTCTGCATAAACTGTTCCTCTGAAAACTTGACTTGAATATGTGGTATGCACTGGAAACAACAGATGTTAAGGAAAATGTAAGAAAACACCTTTCTGACTGCTCAGATCTGCTCTGGGAATCATTGCCCTAGTGATTGTACTGCCCCCAGGCTGGCACTGGTGGGATTGAAGCCCCTTCCTTCCAGAGCACAGCTTTCCCAGACCCCTCTCACTCCTCTCCAGTCCCTGCTTCTGTCGTCAGTGAGAACAGCTCCCAAGGAGACAGGATTTGTGTGATAAACCAGCTGTCCCACTAACTTGTTGCTCCTAGCTAGTGATGATCCTAGAAGGAAATGGGCAAAAGCTCTGCACACTGACAGCCTTTGGGGGTTATATTGCCTTTTCCCAGCCTCACTGGTAGTAGGAGCTCAGATCTCTTTATGAGGTCCCTGATAAAGGCAGCCCTTACCCTCAACTCCACTTTGCTCTTGCCCAAACTGGGAGAAGCAGTACTGCATGAGTCAGCCTTCCTTTTTATGGCCAACAGAGCTTGGGAGGCAGCAAGGACACACTCTGTGCTCCTGGCCTGGAAACCCATTGTGGATGTTTCCCCCACCTGCCTTGGGTGCACACAGGGACAAGGGGCCCTCTGCATATGGAGGAGCTTGGCCAAGGAGAGCATTGTGTTTATTATTGCTTTACCTTCACACAGTTGCTCAACTGCTTGTGATAGCATCTTTCTGAGAAGTGAAATTTGGAGGCTCAACTCTGGCCATAGTGGCTGCTTCACCTTTTTAAAAATAGCCAATGGGCAAAGATTTCCCCCACCCTTCCTGCCTGCACTGGAGAGGTTGCCTCAGCCAGTTCCTCCAGCAGCCCTGGCTGCCTTTCCCTGCCTCTTGTTCACTGCTGTTACTGCTCCAAGGCTATTTCGTGGCTTCTTGCCTGGTTCCCTGTTAAAAATGCTATCCCAGATCTGATTCCCACTAACCTTGGGCATAAAGGAGGATGCAAATGCAGCACTATGAATGTCCCAGCTTCCTCAATTTCATTCATCAATAACTCTTTCCTGGTGAAGCAATGAGCCATGTTTTTCCCTCCACTTCTTTTTAAGGCAGTTAAGCAAATACAGAGCCTCTGGCAGCCCTTGTTAGTCTTAATTTGATTTGCACCTTGGCTTTCCAATTTTGCCTCTTGGCAGTTTAGTGAGCATGTCATTCTGCTCACGTCCTTTGTGGTTTTCCTCATGGCCTTCTGTTTTGACCAGTGGGATTCTGAAGAACTCTGCAGCTATATTTGCCTCCTCTGAAACTTCCCCTCCTTCCCTCAGCAATAATAAGTGGTTACCAAGGTTGTTAGTACAAGTCTTAGGTGTCTGGCTCAGCTCTTCTTGGATTCATGAGCAGTCTGTCCCTCTTAGTTGAAGGTTTTTTAAAACCCTTTTCTCCTTAAAATAACAATATAAGTAATTTCATACTATAGACACAAGAGAAGGGCCGTACTGGTCAGCCCAAGGGCCACCCAGCCTGTAGGGAATCATGGGATCCTTTTAGGTCACAAAAAAGATGTTTGAGTGCAACAGTTACCCCATCACTGCCAGGCTTGTGCAGGTGCTTATGTCACTGGTGGCAGGGATGTTGCTGGTGCTGATGATGTCGTGCCTGGCAGAGAAGCTGATGAGGTGGGTTGTTCAATGGCTGGACATCTGCCCAAGTTGGATCATCTGAGAATAACCCAGAAGATCTGGACTATCTCTTTGGGGTAATCTCTGAACCTCAGCATCTGTTGTGGATATAACACTAAATCACTAGAGCTATGTGCTGGTTTGAAACCCAGTGGGAAAGTTAACTCCACTCAAGCTGCTCCTCTTCCAACAGCAGAAGAAACACCAGGCAAGACCACATGTAGGAATCACAGTTTTACTGAAAAACTCACAATAAACACAACATTACCAATAAAAGAGTACAGAAGAGAGTGCACTACCCATGAGAAGGGTATTCACCACCAAACCAGCAAAAACACCTATTTATTCCCAGCACAAAGCAGACCCATGTGCATCACTGCAGCAGCATCTCTGTGAAGCAAGCAATGCTTTTCCATCCTTGCCCCATGTTTCAAGTGAGTGAATGAAACCAAGGTCACCCCTCATCACGGCAGGTGCCTGCTCCAGAGAAAATCCAGAATATTGTTATAAGACTTCTCATGGCCAGCACGTGCCATCCAGCACATCCAGGACCAAACTCTTCCTAGACACCATGCTGGCCACACAGTGTACAGTGCCATTCCTGAACATGGAACAAGCAGCTAGAGGAGCCTGTCAGCAACTGGAGACAGTGAAAATAGTTGCTGAGGCTTGGCAGTGCTTGGAGCTGCAGAAGGCAAAGGGAACACGGGCTCAAGAGCCCTGTCCTCACTGTGAGACATGGCTTCTTCAGGGGAACATAAAGCAGGGTTCTGCAGCCACTCAGGGATAATAGGTGTCTTTGGTCCCCAAGACTGCACTGCTGTATGAGCTAACACCTGGCTTTTGAGGAGGATGACCGAAAAGGTGGATAACAAGCTGCTCACCTCCCTCACTTGCCCTCTGCCTTGGGAGAGACATCCACCTCTGTGCAGGCAGCACTGCCATCCCCACGACTCTGCTTCTGTTGCAATGGCTTGATCTCAGTGTAAATGACATTGGAGGAGGCAGATCCTGTCCCCTTCTTTTCAAAATTCAGGTTGGCATAGGTCAGATCCTCAGTCCCTGTCACTGGGGCTGCCTGCAGGGAGAGAGCAATGAGTAGAGCCTTGGCTTTTCTTTCTGTGTCTCCCCTGCTTATACATTTCCACTGGCACAACTCTTTGTGCTGCCCAAGCATCACCCAGATTGCTCAGAAGTGCCACCTACTCAAACACTCATAAGCCCTTATTTAATAGGAATTAATAAGTGTTTAGGACCATGTTTTCAGAAAGCAAAGCTGATTTTACTATGAAATCCTTTAAGTGGGTATTCAACAATGCTTTTTTTGACAGGGAGGAGGAAGCGATACGTGCAAAGCCCCCCATGGCTTACCGTACTCGCCTGATTCCCCTCTGTCACTTCCCCACTCATGAGCTCTCCTGAAAAAGGAAACCTAGTTTAAATAGTAGCTAAAATAGTGACAATGATCATTATTTTAAATTAAGAAAATAATGAAAGAATGAAGCAAACATCTGCATTGGTCCTGCTTTTGTTGTGGGAGAGGATGAGGCACTGCAGCTCTTTGTCTCTGAAGATGGTCAAAGGGCTGCAGGGGTTGGCAAAGGCATAAAAGCCCTTGGAGGGGCTGGAGAAGAGCTCTGAGATGGACACTTCTGGATATGCACAACCTGTTTCAGTCACCCAACAGGTTGTGCCATAACCAGACTCCCACCAGCAACTGGCCAGAAGGAAAGGAGGGGGGTGAACCTTCTCACCACACAGGGACAGCTGGTTCAGGAGGATTTGGGAAGGGAACACAGCAAGCAAGAGCAGTAGGATGTCAAAGATGGACATCTCCCAAGCCTGACTTTGTCCAGACCAGCAGTGGAGGAAGAAATGCCAACCTGTTCTGTCCCTTCTGCGCTGCCACAGCAGGAAGGCAATTACCGGCATGTAAAGGAGCGTCCCGACCGCTAAGCCCAGGAGGGTGCACAGGAGGAGGTTGAGTCCTGCACACACAACATCACAGAGGCACTCGTGAGCCACCACCCCCTGCAGGGACACCTGCTGCCACTGCCTCCTTCATGGCAGGCTCAGCTTCTCCCCAGACTTGGGCTTCCAGACCCTGAACCATCTACAGCTTCAGGGTGCTGACAAAATCCAGGGGGTAGTTGGAGCATCAGAGCCCCTTCCCAGCATCACAGCCTCTGATCCACTGGTGCCTACCCCAGCTTGGCAGCAGGCCCCACCCACTCATGGGAAAACACCTGGCTGTTTTCTCCCTTACTGCTCCTCCCTCTTTTTTCCCTGAGGACTCCTCCTGCCCTCCACTCTTGCAGCCAGGGGACTGTGGGGACACACCTGTCCAGATCTTTCCTGTGACACCAGTCTGAGGTCCTGCACAGCCACAGCCTGAAAGGCAGAAACACGAGTGAAAGACTGTCCAGAGGCAGAGAACACCCTGCACCCTGCTCTGCTTTGGAGCAGGAGACTTGACCCAACAGTCCTGGCTGTCCCCTTCCTGCCACCACAGCTCCAGCCATGTCAGTGGTTGGCTGATGTGCTGCAGCTGGAGAATATGGCAGGTCCTAGGAAAGAACCAACAGCCCATGGTCTGTCCCCCCCAGCTCCATCTCCCCATCCCATGGTGGGATGAATCTGCCAAAAGCTGCTGTGCTGGGTTGGCTCCTCCAGTTCTCAGGATGCTTTGAGAGGAAGCAAAGCATGGAAGAACCAGAGGAGTGCTGGAGGCAGTGTCCTGCTCTGCCCACTCCTCTCCCCCATGGAAACAGACCCACTGCCACTTACTGAGATATGCTGCTTGTGTGCTGTCCCCAGTGTCTGTCGAGTTTGGTCTTGTGATGAAGACCCCACACACACAGATTCCTGTGCAGGCTGTACACAGGCTTGAGTTGGTGAAATTCCTACAGTTTTCACCCACAAACACAGTGTTGGTTTGATTTCCAGCATTTGTTGAGTTAGGTGTTGTAAAGAAGACCCCAGACACACAGATTCCTGTGTGGGCTGTACACAGGCTTGAGCTGGTGAAATTCATACAGTTTTCTCCCAGAATCACAGTGTTGGTTTGATTCTCCTTCTCCAGACATTCAGAATTGTACCACTTCACCTGCACTGTGAGATTCTCCAAACCAATCTCGATGTGCACAGTGGAGACTGGCTTTAGCATCTGACTGGCTGTTCCTGGAGGAAACAAAACCAGGTGATAGCTGAAATATAATGACCTTACAGGGTCATGTCCCACGAGTCACTCATTAAAGACACGGTCAAGTGACCATCCTTTTCTGCAGCAGCTGATGATCTTTTCCAAATCTGGCTGCTAATGATTCTAAGCATTCTAACCATGCTAAGCACTCAGCACTGAAATGCTGCGTGTTGTCTTGTGCCACTGGATGCTGTGCAGTGCACAAACTCCTCTGTGCCTCAGGAAGGACTGGAAATGTGAGGATCAGGGGGAAGGCATCTCTTCCACCAGTGACACAGGCACCCAAGCAGGAAGTGCCTCAGGCTCCACCATTTCATGGAGCATGAGGTGGGATTGGGGGATTGGCAGTGGAGAATAGTCAGCCCTGGAGAAGCAAAGAAAATACAGTAAACAGATTCCCTGCAGCCTCTCTGGCTTCATCCCACCCCATAATGCTCACTCTGGAGTACTTCAGAATCACTCTCTGAGCTGAAGTCACTTCACATGTTCTCAGCTGAGTTCTCCCTCTCTTACCTCTCCTCAGTCCTTCTTCCCACTCCAGGGGGTGTTAGTGGATTTCTGTCCCTTACCACCTTTGCTGAGTTCAGAACATCTGCCCTTGGACGTGTTCCTTGTGTTCTCCACCCTGCAGGTGTACGTTCCTGCATTTGCTTTGTTCACGTTGGCAAAGATGAGCTGGGCCAGATAATTTTTCTTCTCCATACCCCCTCCATTCTGCTGTTTTCCACCATTTCAGGTGACATTAAACCACTTCACCTCCCTGGCAGTGCTGCTCAAACCTGCCTGGAGCAGACACTGCAAGATGAGACCTAACCCTACCAACACATCAGCTGTGGCTGAAATCTGGTGAGCAAGTCCTGGCTGGAAAAAAAATCCTTTAGGAGGGCTGGTTTTGTTCCAAGGAGTATCCACATGTGTCCTGTGAAGCTGACCCCACTCTGCAATAACCAGGCTTATAAGCATTTCTGTTTCCTTCCCCCCAGCTGTTTTCTCTCCCTGCTGCTGAAGGCAAAGCTGGTTCAAAGCCCCCTGAGGTCACAGCCTGTGCAAGCACAGCTGCAAGGGGGACCCCTTTGCAAGGCACATAGCAGGGTGCTGCTGCAGAAGAGGGGCTAAATGATGCAAGAGGGGAGGCAAAAGCAGCAGCAGGCACTTTCCACCCCTTCTGCAGGCACAAGCAATGAGGGAAGAGATGAGAAGCAAGGGCACTGGGGGACTCACCAACTGGCAGCCAGGTGAGGAGCAGCAGGGGCAGAAAGGTGCTGGCCAGCCAGGGCTCCATGCTTCCCAGCAGCCTCATGCTGACCGTGCTGGTGCCTGGTGGGATCGGCCGGAGCCTCTGTCTCTCCCTGCACTGCGGGGTCACTGCTCAGCCCAGGGCAGCTGAAGCCTTGCTGGGACCTCACCCCTGCACCACTGGGCCAGGCAGTTTCCTCTGTGCTCAGACTTCCCCTCTCTTCCCCTTCTCTTGCCTCAGCCCAGTTCTTATCTCCTCTCTTCTCTGATTCCTCCTCTGGTTTCATCCTGACCACATACTCGGCCCTGAGACCTGAGTAATGCCCCGGGAGCTGCTGATGGCCATCCCCACTCCACCAGGGCCCTGCCCAGCGGCTCCTGCCACTTCCCCAGCTTCCTGCGGCACCACCTCCCCACGCCTGCTTTGTTTCACACCGGGAACGGAGCCCCTGGAGGAAGCGGCGCTGCGGCACGGCAGGGGGGATGTCCACACCCATCTGCTGATCGGAGGTGCTCCTGCTGAGCCCAGGTGGGGACACACACACCCTGCCACCCGCAGGGACTTGCGGTTTGACTTAGGGATGGGCTTGATCAGAGTGCTCTGCCTGTGGGATGTACCTGCAGAGCCCTGCCCCGACTCTGGCCACCAGGACCCAGCTCCTGTCACTTCATTGCCACTCCCCTGTGTTTCCCTGCCACCTCCGGCACGAGGGACACGAACATCCAGCAGACAGACACAGCTTGTGTCACCCGTGCCACCAAAGGGACAGCAGCCAGCAGGTGCAGGCCCCTCTGTCCCCCAGCCGCTGTGGGTGCAATCTCTGCTGCTCCCCACTGCCAGCCACCACTCTTCCTCTTCACACCCAGAGCACAGCCTCCTGCCAGCTGCCATTTCCTCCCCTTTAGTTTCTATCAGATCCACAGTAACCCTCCACACCGTGCTGGGCACACACGTGTCTCCAGAGGAAAGGCTGTTCACTGGAGCTCTGCTCCACCAGCCAGTGGAACTGCCTGGCTGAAGCTGAGGTCTCATCTGTAAACCAGCCCACACGAGAAAGCAGCAACACCAGCACATTTGCTGATAAGATGGCACAAGATCCGCGAGAATGACAAGTGAGAGGTTCTGTATCCCTCTTGTTCTCCCCTCTGGACCTCAGCATCTCTTCCCATGCTCTTTCTGATGTTCAGTTCCTGCCTGCATTTGAATCTTCATCTCTCCTTTCACAACTGCATAAAACCATGTGTACTTGTTTATTTCCTTCCTTTTCATGTCTATTCTGGTTCTCACGTTTCCTGGCACAGATAAAGCCAAGACCTTCTGAAGCAAGACGTGCCTTCCCCCTGTTCCCAGCTGTAGTGCTGGTGGAACTAAAGGTTAATGTCTTGCTTTCTGCTGACTCCACAGAGGTGCTTTCCTACCAGAATCCCTTCCAGCTCCACAGCCACATTCCACGGTGCTCTCTGCCAAGGAGAAGAGCGAGCAGGAAATGACAATGCTGCTGTTAACAACAGGGTGCCCTGCATCAGCAGCAGCTACACCAGGCACTACACAATGTCCACAGCAGCAGGGAGGCTGCAGAGCCCCTCAGGAGCTCCCCACTCCCTTGAGGGGCACGAAGGAAATACAGAACCACCAAGGTCTTCCTCTGCAGCTGCTGGGAGCAGCGAGCAGCCCCCGTGCGAGGCTGGGGCGATGAGGGGCGCTGGGGAGGATGAGGCCGTGAGAAGCGCTGTTTCCAGCCGGCCCGCGGTGCCCTCACAGAGCTCTGCCCTGGGGGTCGCGGTGCTCTGTCCCCCAGGGCCGCCACAAGCGATGCTGCCCTCACAGCACTGGGGCTGAGGGGACTCGGGGCCACATCCATCTGAGGCCCCTGAGCCCTCACGGAGCTGGGCACGGAACAGCCAGCGCCACAGCAGCTGGTGCCACCGAGCGGGAGGTGCTGGCGGTGTCCCGGGCTCCCTCCCTGAGGCACAGCACCCTCAGGAAGCGGCGGCCGCCCGCGGGACCCCGATCCGGGCACAGCCCGAGAGCACAGAGCGCCTCACCACAGCTCATCGCGCTGCTCTCCCATTGGCTGATGTCTCTGTCAGTCACGTAAGTCCCGCCTCCCCGCCCATCTCCAGCCGCAGGATTGGCCGTCCCTCACGCGGCGCCTGAAGCCCCCTGGGCGCCGCCATGTTGGGGGCCGCTGCCCGGCGGAGGGGCGGTGCGGCGCCGGGCTGCGGCGGCCCGGCCGGGCACAGGTGAGGGCGGCCCGGACCCCTCGAGCCCCCCGGGCTCCTCCGCTGTCCCGGGGCCGCTGGGCGGCGAGGGGAGCGCGCTCCTGCCAGGGGGCGCGGGGCCGGGAGCGGCTGGGGAGGGGCCGGGGTACCAGCTCCGTGCGGGCCGGTGAGGTGAGGCGGGGCCTGCCCCGTCCTGACCCCTGAAGGGGGAGCCGAGGTGAGGCGAGGTGAGCCCTGCCCTGCTCCAGGGGTGAGGCGAGGTCAGCCGTGCCCCGTCCAGCCCTGCGAGGAGCCCTCACACGAGGAGCCCTGCCCGTGCCCCGGGCGCACGGAGCCCCGCGGGCCGGGCCGGGCCGGCGGCATCCCGGCTGCCATGGCCCTGCCGCGGGCCCTGCATCGAGGCCGCTCTGCTTCCCGGGATTGCCCAGCTGCTCTGTCTCCGGCACGGTCCTCGCCGCCGCCTTGGACCTCGGGCGGCACCTGTGGGAGGTGCCGTGCCTGGAGCAGGAAGGACAGAGGGACAGAGAGCTGCGCTGGGCTCGAGGTGTGGTGGGAGTTCCTGCAGGCTGTGCGCTCCTGCCTTATCGCACAGCCCGCTGGCACTGGGTCAGGAGCGCGTTTAGAAAGGAAAGCACGTCAGTTTTGACATCAACACGTGAACCATTCCATACACAGCCTCAAGTGTGTTCGTGCCAGAGGGCAGAAGTGTTTGCTGGTGTGCTCCTCCACCATGTACCTTATCTTTCTTGGAACCCAAAAGGAACTTCTTAGGATAAGTTGGAGACATGTGAAAAGCTTTATGCAGAGCCAGTGCTACCCTGGCCAGCACCTTTCAGAACATGGGCTGTTATTTTCACTACCTTTGGCCATCTGTAATGGTCCACAACAGTTTCTGAGCCCTGTGATCCTTGACTGTACTGTCTGGTTTTTGAGACTTCTGCCTTTGGAGCTCCAGACTGCTTCAACATGGAATTGAATGGGATGCTGTAGGAACCAAGAGGTTTTTCATTGCACTGGGTCACAAACTTATTGTTGCTATGTGTATCAATGGAGTCAAAAAGCTCCTTTCTATGACCAGGATGGGACTTCAAACTCACTGTGAAATTCAGCAAAAATAAAGGTGTTTTGAGGCCACAAAAAAAAAAAAAAAAGAATGGCAGAGCTCTTAAGTGCTTCTGTTAGAAAATTTAAGTCAGAATGATGTTGCAGATTGATTATTTCATCTCTGTTAAAAAGAGATTGATTTTTGTCTCCTGAGATGCAAGATACCTGCTGCAGCCTGGTTTCAGTTGCCCATAAAAGCTCTGCCTTTTGTGTTTTCTGGGGGAGGTTCTCATTGACGTGTTCATTCCAATGTTTGACTGCTGGAGAGGTTGATGCACTGGGATTTTAATTTTTGTAACTAGTTTGCTGAGGCTTGTTAGAAGGTTTGAGGCTTGGTGGGTTTTAAAGCAAATATGTAGAAATTGTACCTAATTCTAAGCTGGTGTTGGTACCAGTTTCAGGCATTTCTTTCTCAGAGCTCTTCCCATGCTCTGCCAAAATCAGTTTTCTCTAGTTTTCAGTTTAGTGCTAGTTGTGACTTCTGTGCATTCAGTGAACATCATTGGATAGACAGGAGTCTCTCTTTTCACTCCCTGTAAATGACATTTGTCTCATGGCATTGTCTCTTGGCAAGGGCACTTCACAACTTAAAAAACTCTGAGGCAAGGAACCACCTCCTTCAGATTGTTTTGATCCAGCCTTCTTTGAGCTCCATTTGATGTGCTCTTATGTGGTGAAGGACAGTGAAAATTTTGCTTTTCTCCATCCTAAGCCACTCCTGACTTTATCACTTGTGATGTCTCATCCAAACTGAGGAATCTTTCCTTGCTTAGGTCTTCCTTTTCAGGAGATTTTGGTGCTTTGGATCACCTCTGAGAAGAGAAGTACCAGATGTGCACGTGGAGCTCCAGATGCTGGTGCTCTGGGGACCTCTGTGGCAGCACAGTGCTGTTCTTCTGAGATCCCTGCTCCTTCTTCCCAGACTGTTAATTACAGCTGCCTCTCCTCAGCAGTGGCCTTTTCCTGACATGGAGGGTTTAGGCTGTTTCCTCGGGGTGGCCGGGCTGGGATCCCTGTCCTGCCAGCACTGGAGCTGTTCTGCAGTGTGTGTGTGTGTGTGTGTGTGTGAAGGCTGCAGCACCCACGTGGACCCCCTGTTTAAAGCTCTCAGCTCAGTTCTGCTCATGCTCCGCGTGCTCTGTGATTTGTAAGGATTGGCTTATTTTTTAAGAGGCAGCTGGATGGAAAACAGGGAAGAGTAACACTTAAACTGGGTGATTGTTAGAGAAATCAGCTTATCTGAGTAGCAGGAGCCTCCTGTTGCACATACTGTGGTGTTCTAGAGCATTTTCAGTGAATTCAGCCTGTTCTGAGCTGTTGTGTGAGTCAGACACGTCTGTGTGATCTGTGCAAGCAGGCACACACTCACCTGCTCTCTGTTCCACCTCACTTCGTGTCCCTTCAAACAAAGTTGTTCTTTCTGCTGTAAGGATTTTTAACTCTTCCATATCATAAACTGCTAAACAGATTTGTGGGGACTTCAGTAGTTGTGCCAGCTGACCATACACCTGCAAGGGGTTTTTTGTTTGTTTGTTTTTTGTTTGTTTGTTTGAGTGATTTATATAAAGCAAGCCTGGGTAGAAGCCATCCTCCTTGCCAGTATTCCAGGGTCCCACCCTTTTATGCAGGCTTGTAAATATTTTCAAGATCCTTTTGATCTTGTCACTGCCTTGTTTGAGTGTTCTGCTAAATGTTGGATAAAAAGGAGTTTATGCCAATGAACTTTGTTCATCTTTATAAAGAATGACAGTGACTATCACTGCAAATGCTGCATCACACAGAATAAGGAAAAGCATACTGAATTAATTAAGTAAATATTTCATAAGCTGTTTTATAGCATCTGTAAAGATTTGTGCATTTTGCAAGATAAATATTCTCAAGCATTTCTGTTTTCTAGTTTAGTGTCTGTACTACAGAAATACCTAGGAATTGAGTCAGGGTTCAGTTTTATGACACAAGCTGAGCAGTGTGGGCACCCCCAGACTAATGAGATGCTGATTGCAAACAAAGCACTTGCACTGGGAGTAGTTCCACTTCTGTGCTGGTACTGCCCAGTGCTGTGTCAGGGTTTGCTTTTGTGTGTTGTAACTTAATGTGAGTATCCTGGGAGGGGGAGATGAGTAACACTGTCTCTGAAACAGGCCATGGTTCTTGCTGCTTATGGGTGTCTTTTCCAAGGGTGATCTGGTGCTGGCACCAGTTCTCTTTTTAAATATGGTCTTTGCTTTTTCATTGTAAGCTTCTAATGAAAATGGAATTTGTCATGTTTTTCTCTCAAAATAAAAATTAAAAGGTCAAGTGGGTGTAGTAGATGGGAATTCAGAAAGGCACAGAAGGAAAGCTGTGTTTTGTAGGTTTCTGTGGTGTCAGAGATTGAGGAGACTTCTGACCTCCCTCCTTGAAGTTGGTGCTAAAGCGAGTGCTGAAGGCAGTTTGGCCAGATGTGCACAGCAGCTGTGCTGAGGCAGACTGGCAGGTAGATCTCAAAGGAATTGATTTACCAGGAGGTATTTGGAAGAACAAAAGGAGTGTGACTTGACCATTAGTTTGTGTGTAGGGAATATAATAATTCTGTGCCTTCCTGCAGATTAAGTGGCATTGGCAGAAGGAGATATTTTTAACTGTCCTAAGTGAAGGTTTTAACTACCCACAGTGGACACAGAGGAGCGCCCTTTTCCTTTCAGCAAGCACATTTCTGTGTATTTAAACACTGGCATTCTCTCTCCCCAGGCAAAACAAGCTCACTGAATCCAGGCTTTCCCCTCAGGACATATTTTCTAAATCTTCTCTAGACTGACTTATCTATTTGCCATAAAATTGTTAAGGTCCAAGTAGTCGTTTTCAGTTTGTGTATTTAATTTGGAAGAAAGATTTATGTGTCCCAAAGCATGTCCATTATTTTAAGCTATTTCAATTGGTCTAATAAAAGATATTACCTCATCTCACAAACCTTTATCTCATTTAGGGGCTTACATCATCACAAATAGAACAGCACTGCTTTTACTGCTGGTGTGACGGACTCCGTGTCCTGTCCTCTTGGTGCTTCCTGTCACTCCCAGTTTGTGCCTGTGTGTGGTTTATCCTGCATTCCTGTGTGCATGTGCTGAGTTTTGAAGCTGAGGAGATGACTCTGTCAAGCTGCTCTCTTACCATTCTTGTGCAATAGGTTTGTTAGGTTTGTCCCTTTATACTGTATCTCTATAGATTGCACCTCTTGGGGCTTTTGGTTTTTGTCATTAGGTTTGAGAATGCTGAAAGCCATACAAAGGACAGAAGGTGGCATTCAGGGTAGGTGTGTTTGATACCACAGTGTGCCTTTTGCTGATAATGACTTGTAACTTCTCACATTTTAGGAGCTGTGGATGGAACACCGAGCTGAGGAGCCGAAGATTTTACTGAAGGCCTGTGTGTAGACCCTGATGCTCAATGAATGAATGAAGAATGAAAATGCTCCCTGGAGTGGGTGTGTTTGGAACTGGTAGTGCTGCCCGGGTCCTGGTACCCTTGCTGAGGGCAGAAGGCTTCTCCATTGAAGCTCTTTGGGGGAAGACTGAAGAGGAAGCCAAGCAGCTGGCAGAGGAAATGAACATCTCCTTCTACACCAGTCGGACTGACGATGTCCTGCTGCATCAGGACGTGGATTTGGTTTGCATCAACATCCCTCCACCCCTGACTCGGCAAATTGCTGTGAAGGCTCTAGGTACCTTTTTATCCTTGCAGTGGGACCAAAAATCTGTAGCTTGTTGGCAGATTGAGATTTGAAGCTGTTAGCCCAGCACAGTTCTGGTTGCACCAATGGCAAATGCGGTGCTAAAAATGTTGTGTGGCATTTGTGAGAAGGGTTACCTGGGTTGTTTTTTTTTAAAATACTGTTAATAATTGCTTATCTGCTTGAACCAATTGGGCTAAAATATTTTGCTTGGGTCACACTGAAGTTATTTTAGGGAGTTTGTAATAAAAATCAGCTGTATCAGAGACAATAATGAGAGGGTAAATGGCTTTATGCCCATTAAAATAACCAGAGAAACAACAACAAAAAAAACAAACCCAAAAAAAAAAAAAACAAAACAAACCCCCCCCCCCCCCAAAAAAAACCAACCAAACAACAAATTGTTTAATTAATTTTAAATTTTCCCATGTTCTGTACTAGGAAACTGAGATTTGCCTGGAAGGCGAAGATTGTTCAGCTCTGCTTTATGCTTTCTCCACAAGTAAAATCAAACTTGGAAGTTGAAAGACTTTGAAAAAATATTTGTATACACTCAGTAGAATCTTGTGAATTAGGAGCTAAGAGATGCTGTTTTGGCTGTGACTCTGGCCATGACCTGGACCACTCTTGGCACATCCATGTCCACAGCAGGCTGATGTGGTCCCAGGTGGAGGAATCCTTCTGCCTGACTCAGGAGGGCAGATGCTGGGGACAGCAGGAGGAATCCAGCTAGATGAGAAAGAAGGGATGACACCCCAGACTGGTTGGGCAGGGAGATGGGAGCCAACTGCCCAGGCATCATGACATTTCCTAATTCCCCAGTGTGTGACTTTGTAGTGTTAATGTCCCCTCCTGGAGAGCAGCGTGGGTGTCAGTTTGCGTGTAATTCTGTAAATAACAAGGGTGATATTTTTACTTTGTTTACAGGAGATACACGAGTTAATTTTAGGACAGGTAATCTCAGACCATGTGAGCCAGGGTTGTTTGTTGTGCCTCTTTTCTCTACAGTAATTTCTTCTGGAAGTAAACAAGTCCCTGCACAAACATTTGCAATGCCACTTAGATATGCAGAGTGAGATTTCAGGCTTTTTTTCCTTTTCTTTTTAATACTGTTAGATTTGTTTGTTTACCTTGTTAGAGTACTGTCCTTTGAATTTTAACGTATTCTGATTTTTAAATATTTGAACTGTAAGTTAGAATTTATCTCTTCAAATATGCTAAAAGCTCTTTAAAGCACTTGTTAGGTAATATGCATTTCACTAGGTCTTGTGGCTCTTGATGATCAAGTGGGCTAAAAAGGAGAGGATTCACCATTCTCTGATGGATTATTAACTAAAAGGGATTGGGATTCCTTCTCTGAAGGCTGGGAACCCATAAGAGGACATTATCCAGGGGAGGAAAGGGAGGTAAAGCTGGTGCAGAAATACAGAGGTTGTATGTATGCTTGAATGCAAGTTTAGGGAGTGGCAGGCTGAAAAAGCCAGGGAGATGGATGGATGCAGCAGGAAAGGGTAACAGTCACTTCCTCTGTCCTGGTCTGTGAACTCATGCAGACATCTCAGGCCACTGTGGTGCTGACCCTGCCTTTCAGCTCTCCAGGCTCACTGCAGTGGTGTTTGCAGGTCTGCTGCCCAGTGTATTGTGACTTATTTAAAGCCAGTCTTGGGTGGTTTCCTGTGCCTGAATGTTCTGAAGGAACACAGGACCAGGGGAGGGCCAAAGATGGCAGCAACATTTTGTTTGGAAGTTGAGATTGATACAGTGATTATTATAATCAGAGAATTATTTGCTGTGAATTGTTTATAACAGATTGGTGTTTACTTGCCAAGAGACTGGGCTTTAGGAAATGTCAGAAGTGGTGCAGTAATAATGGTCTTGTGTGTTGTGTTTTGTTGGGCTTGGTTTGTTTAAAGTGGTGACACTTTTATCACTTATTTTTGTACACTTTTCTACTTTTTTAAAATCCTGTGCTTCCATTTGGTAAAGAGGAGAAAAAAAAAAACCCAGTTTTTCTAGGTGGTGCAGTTTTTTTGTACACTTTTCTACTTTTTTAAAATCCTGTGCTTCCATTTGGTAAAGAGGAGGAAAAAAACCCCCAGTTTTTCTAGGTGGTGCAGTTTCCTTTCCTAAGTTTCTTGCTGACAGATATCCATGAACAAGCCTGGGGACAAAGCAGTGACACTGGTTTGAGTTCATGAACCAGACAGAACAGATCAAAGCCCAGGGGATAGTTCATATTAAAATCAGTGTAATCTTATGGTTTATCTCCACAACAGGCAAAGCAAGAAGCTCTCTTTAAATTTGTGCTTCTTTTGATCTCAGAGGAACTAAATAAATTTCACCAAATGTCTGTGTTGTGGTTCATGTTCCATGGTTAAATGCACCCATCATGTCTCCTGGCTGGTGAGAGCCTCAACTGAAAATTTTGCAGTTGTGGTTTAGGAAAACAATATGGTACAAAGTTCAGGTTATTCATTACCAAAACAATAGTAACAGTCCCAGGGATGTAAGCTGCACTGCCTTAAAAACAAAAGGCATGGCCATTACCTTGGTAAGGGACCTTGTAGCCATCTCTGACTTGGCTCTGTCCTTGCTTCATGGCCATCCCTGCGAGCTTGGGGACAGCTGGAGGGATGTTCCACTGAAGGCAACAGCAGGATTATCCCAGAGCTGTTATGTGTTCCCAGGTCTCATCCTGGCACTCTGGCAGTGGCTGTGCCCAGCTATCAGTGTGCTGCCATCCCAAAAAAAGGCATCAGCCACTTTTAGCTCCTCAGGTGGCTCAGCTGGGCTGCCACAACAGGCACAGCACTGAACTGCTCAGCAGAGCAGGGAGAGCCTGCTGTGACAGGGCTGTCCCCAGGCTGGGCAGCAGGGGAGCAGCACCAGCACAGCACTGGCTGCAGAGCTGCTCCCATGGAGCCAGAGTCACTTCGGTTTTCTGCAAGCTTTGAGGGTACAGATCTGCTCGGGATGCTGTGAGCGTCCCTTTGCTTTCTCTGGTGCTGCTTTACTGGAACCTGCCTGGAGACGAACACCATTTAAACAAGGCAGATAAACTGGACTGAAGCAGCTCTAGATGCATGTCAGGTGCTTCAGCTAGCCCTGAAAAGTACTGAACTGAGTGTTGTGCCTTGCCTTGGCAGCAGGACTGGGCACAGGGGACTCAGAAATGGTCCCTAAAATGGGGGGTTACCAATGGCCAGCCAGGGAGTTTGACCTGACCCTTTGTTCATTACAGCTGCTGTAGACTGGTATCAATCCAGGGGATTTCTCACTTGTAGTCTTCCCATTTTCTGACTGGATTTCACTTGTGTCTGTTAGAAGCAGAGGTTCTGAGTCTCCTGTAGCTGTCCCCTGGCTGAGCTGTGTCACGGGGGCGTGCTGGCCCCTGGCCCGCTCAGAGAGCTCCTGGAGGGCTGCTGAGTGCAGCCGGGAGGGGGAGCACGGAGAGCAGGAGCCACGGCGGGGATGTGCCTTCTCCTCGTCTCCTGAGACCGACTGGAGCCTGTGCTGGTACCTTCTCACAGCCGAGCAGGGAGCACAGTCTGCTCCTGGCTGAGGAGGAGCTTTCTGAGAGGTGCCCAGCACCGTGTGCAGTGATTCCTGCAGTTCTTGGGCAGGAACTGTGGTGTGCCATGACTGACCTTCAGGTCTGGCATCCCCAGGTAGTGTCTGTAATAACTGTGTTAGGAATAACATAGTTATTACACAGAAAAAGGTTTAGATAAGTACTTGATCAGAACAGAGGTAAACCAGGAAAAAAACAGTAAAAGTAAAGCACTGCTATGAGAACGGGGATACCAGAAATGTAAGAACTGGTTAAAACTTGTACTGTCATGCTCTTTTGTATTACTTAATTTCTGCTTTACAGTTAGGGCAAAAGAGGATTATTGACTGCCCCATTGATTTAGGCTGAGCACAATGTAAAGTGCATCAGGAGCAGTAACTGCAGTGGGTCAGCTTGGAGGTGCAGCTCTTGTCCATGTCACTCAGTCACCTTTTGTCTGATTGTACAAACAGGCTGTGTGTGCAGACCAAAACTATTTGCTTTCTAATTAGAAAGGGTTGTTTTAAAACAGTCCACTTCCCAAAACATTATTTCTAATTCTTGTGTTCTGTACACAGAATCTGTATTATATCTTTTATAAATATACATTTTTATATAAGTAAATTGTATGTCCCATTTGTATTAATTTTAAAAAATAAAACTGTATGGTGATAATGCAATACAGAGTGAAAATCAAATCTCCCTTTCCCCCACCTCTTCAGTGCAGGATGCATGGCTTTTTTTTTTTTTTTTTCTCCTCTGGCTGCACAGGTATTCAAATAATTTGTAAACTATAGCATTCATAGTGTGTCTTGTTTAGATGCCATGTGATGCCATTTGGACATTTATCTTTCATGATGTAAAAGTCCTCTCTTTATTTGGAGCCTCCCTCTGTGGGAGTTTGTCAACTGTGCAACTGAAACATCTTGGAAACAGCACTGAGTCTTGCTGGACTTGGCATTCCTACTTTAGTTCCCAGATCTTTACCTTAGAAATTGCAGGAATGCCCAGCTCTTAAAACCAGCACTTCTTGACAACCTGTGGGGCATCTCAGCGTGTTTTGCTCAAGTGTGCTAAATATTGTAATTTTTTTCCATTTTTGCTGCAGGAATAGGGAAGAACGTGCTGTGTGAGAAAGCTGCTACCTCTGTGGATGCCTTCAGGATGGTCACAGCTGCCAGGTATTACCCCAAGCTGATGAGCATCGTTGGCAACGTGCTGCGTTTCCTGCCCGCCTTCGTGAAGATGAAGCAGCTGATCGAGGAGCGCTACGTGGGCAACATCATCATCTGCGACGTGCGAGTCTACGGGGGCAGCCTGCTCAGCCACAAGTACAACTGGATCTGCGACGAGCTCATGGGAGGGGGTGGCCTGCACACCATGGGCACCTACATCATCGACCTGCTGACTCACCTCACCAGCAGGAGAGCTGAGAAGGTCCACGGCCTGCTCAAGACTTTTGTGAAGCAGAACACGGCCATCAGCGGGATCCGCCACGTCACCAGCGACGACTTCTGCGTTTTCCAGATGCTGATGAGCGACGGCGTCTGTTGCACTGTGACTCTCAACTTCAACATGCCCGGCTCCTTCATCCACGAGGTCATGGTCGTGGGCTCTGCCGGCCGCCTCATCGCTCGTGGGACAGACCTGTACGGGCAGAAGAACACCGCGCTCCAGGAGGAGCTGCTGTTTACAGACTCTCTGCCTGTCAACAAGGGCCTGTTGGATAAGGGCTTCAAGGACATCCCGCTGCTCTACCTGAAAGGAATGGTCTACATGGTGCAAGCCCTGCGGCAGTCTTTCCAGGACCAGGAAGACCGTCGGACGTGGGATCATAAACCTGTGTCCATGGCAGCCTCTTTTGAGGATGGCCTGTACATGCAGAGTGTGGTAGAGGCCATCAAGAAATCCAGTAGGTCAGGTGAGTGGGAGACTGTGGAGGTGATGACTGAGGAACCAGATGCCAACCAAAACCTCTGTGAGGCACTTCAAAGAAATAACTTATGAACATTCCTACCTTGGAAAATACTACTTCTGGCTGTAATGTAAAAAAAAACCCCAGTTTTTAAGATATGTAGATTCTTATTTAATAGCCTGAGTTTCTTGGTTTTTTTTAAACATGTAAAATATGTTCTCATAGGAACAGTTCTGGTTTAAATTGTTTGAAGAGTTTTAAATGTTTCTGTTTTTTGCAAACGTTTAATTTTTGTCTTGGAGACTGGTAGGAAAACTTGAATTGCCCTTTGCACTTGCAGTAGCTGAAGTGAATTGTGGGATCTCTGCCATTGCATGGCTTGGAAATGGGACACAACCCCTGTTGCACAGGTTGCTGATTTAACCATGAGAGCATGTAGAGCAAGATCAGGGAGTATCTGTTGTTCAGATGCCTTTTTCCTCTCTCTTGGGAGACTGATTTATGTTTTAATCCTCAGTTTGTAAAACTTTAGAAAAAAAGTTCAGTGATATATCAAGTCTCTGAACTCCTATAGGACAAAAAGTAGAAGGAATGGATTAAAGTTAGTAACATGAGGATCAGCCTTTTGGCTTCCTGTGTGTGGTAAATGTCTTTCAAATTAATTCAAACTGATGTTTTATTTAAATGATACTATAATTCTCTGTTGTTGGTGTCTTGGCAGGAAAATATTCAGGAAGTCTGTGATGCATTGAGCTATTCTTCCATATCTGTAGACATTATTCCTTCTATTCAAGAGGCTGCCTGCATCCAGCAGCTGTTTTTCCATAAGCTCTGTGCTTATGTCAGTTGTGTTTACTGCCTGGCAGCACCAGTGGCGTGCCTGTGGGGCCACATTCTCATTTCTGTGACTGTTACTAAATAAATGATAAATGCCTCCCCGGGTCACGGGATTGCCACAGTGTGGTGGGTAACAAAGTAGTACAGCATGAACCTTTCAGGGACCTGAAAGTGGAAGGAAGGAGGTATTTCCTACCTCTTGCAGCTCTCTTAATGTGCTGGCTGGGTAACTGTCACACTACACACATCCTGATAGTTGAGAGAACAGGGACTGAACTGCCATGGTAAATGTGCTCTTGATCTCAAACACTGGCTCTGAGCCCTCTGGTCCAGCCCATCTTCACACCCTCCTGCAGCTGGTGTCCAGTGGAGAGATTTGTTGGCAGATGATGGGGTGGAAGTTCATTCCCTTTGAGAAATGTTTCTCTCCGAGGCAGGTATGTGGAAAGGATAGTTTAATTTTACTACATTTGTTTTGTGTACTTGAAAGCTTTTTTTTAAATGTATTTCCCACTAAATTGTAACCCTGTGTATTTATGTATATTAACATGCACGCTGCTGTTCCATAAGCTGGACCTTCCTGAAAAGTATCATGTTTTCTACAGAAATAAAAAGTTGTGTTTGTTGAGGGAATTCTCTATGCAACTGTGTGCTTGTGTTTGATTTGGTCAAGCTAAAACCATCTTAATAAAAGTGAACAGGAGACTCAGAGCTGGGACTCAGTATCTGGTGAGTCCTTCCCCACTTATTGTAGAAATTGCCAGAAGACACCAAGTAGGAAGCAAAATCCCTGCAGTATTGATGGGACCACTTTCTTTGCTTGGTGTGTAAATTAGGTATTTACCTTTGGGTATTTACTTTCCAGTCTCTGACAGAAGCAAGTCTACTGCTGTGCTGTTTTAAAGGGTAGGAGCATGGCTGCTCTTGTGCTCTGCACATTCTCATCTCTGCTGTGAGCTGTGTGAAGGAAGTGCACGGTTAGATTGGATATTAGGAAAAGGTTCTTCACCCAGAAGGTGTCTGGGCACTGGAATAGGAAGTGGTTGTGGCCCCAAGCTTGCCAGAGTTCAAGAAGGGTTTGGACAATGCTCTGGGAGGCACAGGTGGGATTCTTGGGGTTGTCCTGTGTGGGGCCAGGTGTTGTACTCAGTGATCCTGCCTAGGTGTGAGCATCTAATGCCTGTGGAGTCTGTGTGCTGTGTAAAATGGATGAGACAATGTGTCCTGAGCTCACCTGGCACTCACCACCTTCATTCAGACAGAAGAGCCCTGACTGTTTTCATGCCAGTCTGGGGTCTGTATCAAAGCTGTCCTTCTGGAACTGAGAGCCTTCCTTTGTGCCTTTGTCACTAAGTTTGTATTGGGCAAAACAAATCTAAAGCGCAGCTCCTTCTCTATGAGAAGAAAGAAGCACAAAACATCTCCGGCTGATCCCAGTGAAGGAAGGAGGGTGCCGAGACTGCTGGGTGAGAAAGACATATGAGCGCAGAACTGTGGGGAGAGGTGAGAGGGGCCTCCCGTGGCTGCCTGCAGCCCGAGGCTGCGCTGCACGGCCGGAGCGGGACGGGGGCCGCAGGAGCGCCCGTTTGCAGCCGTGAAGCCTGGACTGCCCCGTGCAGTCCCTGCGCGCTTAACGCGGATGTTGTGCATCAGGGACCGGGCCGGCCGGGGCTCAGCGTGCCCCGCGTGCTGCGGCTGCCCGGGCACGGCCAGGGGGCAGGGGCAGCGCCGCGGGGGGAGGCTGCGGGCCCCGGCACCCCGGACCGCGCTGCTGGCAGCGCCTGCCGAGCCCCGGCGAAGGGGGCCAGGAGGGTCCGGCCCCGGCGGTGTCCGGTCTCAGCACGTGTCCCCAGGCAGGCCGGGCCGCTGTGGATCTCCCGTGCCAGCCCGGCCCAAGGAGCCGGGGCTGCCCCACCAGCTCCAGCCTCAGCACGGGGCCCGTCCGTGCATCCCAGAGGAATCCCACGTGTTGAGGTGGGGCCTCCGTGTCCTCACCTGCCCTTGCCCTCCTGAGAGGCTGGGCTGCAGCTCTGTAGTGCCCACAGCAGGCTCTGCCCACCTTCCAGCGCCCAGCACGGCCCTCGGTCAGCTCCTGCCCCAGCAGGAAATGTGTCTGACTCCCCGGGCAGACTGCCCAAGCTGGCTTTGTTCCTAAAGAGCTGTTGGTACACACCAGCTCCCCGAAATGCGAACGCCAGCATCACACCTGGCTTACCTGTCCCTCTGTCTTCAGAGAGACAAAAGGAAAAATGGGTCTTTGAGACTGGCAGATGGGGAAGAGCTGGTGAGACCTGGGTAAACTCACGTGGGGAATGATATTAAAAGGAGAATATTAATCTCTCCCATAGCAGTCAGCAAGGAGAAGGCTTAGCCAGGGACAAAACCACTGGGTGGGTTCACAGCACATTGACCTCTGATCCTGACTCCCAGTTTTTCAGAAGGAATGGTCCCAGATCCATTGGTGCTGTTCTGGTGCAGCCCTCGGGCGCGGAAGTTATCCTGATGTGACTTTCCATTCCAGCTAAAACTGTTGAGGAAGGAATCAAACATGCAAGACCAGCTGCACGGAGATTAGCCCTTTGATTTGCTGCAGATGACTTGCTCTGCTTATCACAGCTTATCACAACCGTGGGATGTTTTTTCCCATGCTTTTTGCAGGGATTGGCTCACGAAGGCAAGAAGCTGGGCTGGCATCAGCTCTGTGTGTGGTAGCAGCTTCCTGGCCAGGGACCCAGGCACAGTGAAAATGTCATCTGTGAAAAAGAGGGAATGCTTCAAAGTCAGATGCCAAGGGTTCAAGGCTGTGAAATGCACCTGCCCGAGGCTTGTCTGTTCCCATGTTTTGCAGTTACCTCAACTACAATGCCAAAAACAAGCCACAAAAGGAAGCTGTGGTTCTTACAGGCTCTGAGAGGCCTCAGTTTGCCAGGGGAATAAGTAGCATTTTTACCACTTGGTCAGCTGCAGCAAAGGGCACAGAGTCGAGTTAATGGTTATTAAACTTGCAGACACTCTGGGAGAGAGAGAACTGGAGCCTGCATTGCTTGGCTCCTAGGCCAGCATAAAGCCATGGTTCTGATGGAGATGGGAGCAGCACACTGGGCTGAATGAGCAGTGTTGAAGTCATTGGGTTACTCCAGCAACTGCTCTGTGCCTCCTGTGGCTGTGCAGGGTGGCTGGGAGCTGTGACTCTTCCCTAGGGAGTCTTCAGGCTGGCTGCTGGGGACAGCAGCAGAGAGGAGTGGCACACAAATATCTGTTTGCCTGGACTTATTCAGCCTGCTGCTGCAGAGTGTGCCTGAATCTCACGGCCTGTGAATGCATAAATGGTGTGTGCCTGGTGGCAGCAGGTTGGGTACTGCCCTGTTGATGTTTGGGTTGCTGATGTGATGGTAAAGCAGATGCTCTCCTGGGTGCAGGAAAGCCCCCAAGAGGGCTGACCCTGTCCCCTCATCCCTCTCCTCTGTGTTCATAACTCTGAGCTCCTGCTGTGTTTCCCTGGTGCTTGCTCCAGTGCTTCTCTGATCCCCCTGTGGATGCAAAAGTCATGTTCCTTTTGGACAGAAGGTTACACGGGCAGAAAACAAACCCAGTGAAAGAAGTGACTTGTTTGTGCAGGGGCAGGGGTGGAATTGGCTCAGCACAGGGCTGTTGGTGCTGCAGAGGTGTCCCGAGCAATGAAGCAGGTGGCAATGACAGCAGAGTCCCTCTGGGCAGGAGTGAGCCATCAGGGCCTCTCGCTCGTGTCCCTGTGGTCAGCAGGAGCAGGGCAGCAGCTGGGGAAGTGTGTCCCTGTTAGTCTGGCTGGGACACTGCTGCTGGGGGCTCGTGTCCCTGTAGGTCCCTACACAGCCAAGATGCTCCCTGCTGTAATGAGGCTGTCTGATCCTGCAGGATCCCATGCCAGAGGTGATGTGACTTGCAAATCAGGGAGTGGGTGTCATTTGCAAATTCCCTGCAGCAGGGCAGGGTGCAGCTGGGATGTGGAGGTACAAAAGGAGCCCTCCATCCCCCGCCTCCCCTCAGCCTGCCTTTCCTCCTCAGTCCCCCGCAATAATTGTCTGCTCTGTTACAGGTCTTGATTCCAGCCTGTCATTTTACGTGTAAATCACTGGGCTGGGACCTGAGTTCACATCAAGATCAGATGTGCATTTCAAAGCCAGTAGCTGTTCTGGAGTGATCTCATGGTGAACGTGTTTTTTTTTTTTCCCTCTAGAATGAGAGAGGCTGTTCTGGCTTAGTTGATCCATTATCGAGGAGATTAAATAATACCAAGCCAGCATCCTTTTATCTCTGGCTGAGAGTCTGTGCCTGCTTTTCAGAAATAGCTTTTCCAGAGCAGCTGGGCAGAGGCTGCACATGCATGCTGGTGTGCAGCCGTCAGCACTGCTTGCATTGCCTCTGCCGTTGTGTCCAGGAGATGAATAACAGCATTTTGCTAATGGGTCTCATGTCAACAGCGGTGATTTAGCAAGGAAGACTGCAGTGCATTAGTTGCTATGAGTCAGATTCACTCAGCCTTGCACTGATCCTTTATTGGTTTATAAATTAAACTGCAGATGCTGCGTCCCGTCAGTGCTGGCATGCTGAGGATCCTGGAAGGGGTTCTTCCCCTGGAGTTGTCTCAGAAATGTTTAAATTACTGCCTCAGGAGTCAGGGAGTGCAGGTTGTAGCCCCAGCTCTTACAGCAGTGACTCCAGCCAAGCTGCCCTGGCGCCTGTCAGAATTGTGGTGTGACTCTGATGAGGCTCTTGTGGCATCTGCTGAGAGCTCAGCAGCAGTCTGTGCCTGCTGTGTGGCATCCTGCATGCTCATGTTCTGAGGGTTTGTTCTAGGTATAAAAATGCTGTCCAGGTGAACAGTGCAGGGAAATTGATGCTGATTGCTCCTGTCCCTTCCTGGTAGAAGGGTCTGTGCTTCTGTCATGGAGAGAAGAGAAGCAACAGGGACCCATGTGAGTCAGGGCAGGGACTTGTGGCTCTGTGCTGCTTTGAAAAGTACTTCAATGAAAAATGAAAATGAAAAACAATGAAAAATGAAAATGGAAAACATGTTATTCTCTGTTCTCCCCAGTGCTTCTCTCATGGAGAGAACAGGGGCCCGTGTGAGTCAGGGCAGGGACTTGTGGCTCTGTGCTGCTTTGAAAAGTACTTCAGAAATGAAAAACATGTTATTCTCTGTTCTCCCTGAGACCTGAGAAACCATCTGGGCTCTTTCCCAGAAATCCAGTCTCTGCCCCACATGGTCCTGGAGGGAAATGTTTTGTCTTTTTGTAAAGTGTTTGTCCTTCTGGGGTCAGCCCTGGCCTGCTGAGGGGTGGTGACAGCCCAGGTGTGTTCTCGGGGAGGACATGGCCATGTGGGGCAGGAGCTTCAGCTTCCCCTGGACAAATTGTGTTTGAACCACAGGAGCCATTTAGAGGGAGCCCAGGGTCCAGGATAATTCAAATCTCAGGCTAAAAGCTGTCAGATGGTGGCCACCTACCTGGTGTTTCCTGTTCACTCCTTCTGTGTCTGCATTCAGTGTTTCCATATGGGAGAACAAAGCCACGAAGGATTTTGTGTACTGAAGGTACCAATATTACAGCAACTGTGGGCATTTGCAGCACTGGTTAAAACACTGACCCACATTAGGGACAG